CTTTCCTGCTTATGCAGGGGGTTGGACTCGATGATCTATTGAGGTCCCTTCCAACCCTAACATCTATGAATGAGATATTATACAGTACTGTAGACAGGATAGACCGCTAGGGAGCCCCACACAGTATATCCTCCCCACTAGACTTCAAGCCACTAATGACTACTCATTGAACACAATGATCCAACCAGTGTACATCCACCTTACAGCATTTAAACTTATATGTATTTCTTTAACATACTAATGAGAATGTCATTTTAAACTTTTTTATGCATTTTCCATTCATCTTTATATGTACTTTCGCTCATCTGAAGTCCCAGTGGGAACATAAACAAATTAATAAACAAGAATACAAGGATTAACTTGCAAACTTTACCTTCATATCCCCAAGAGCATAAACCATCTGAGGTTCCATGGATTTTCCACTTACTCTTCACACCTGAACCCTTGTGCAGCATGATGTTCTCTTTTGTTCTGCTGCCAGAGCTGAAAAACAAATCTTCTCCTTGGATCGCAAGAAGGGTCTCATTTCTGCATTCCCACTGTTGGACTTGACTTGTCTTATTACAAGGATACAAAAATACCTGTACTTGTTCCTTCTTTGAAGGCACTGCCAAGCATAAAGTGAATGCCAGGCTCATAATTTGGTGCACAGAGACCCACTTAAATTTTTGTGAGATAGCATTCTGATCACAAGGAGCAGTTATGACTGAGCTAGAGCTCTGAGCTTGCACACAGTACTTATTATCTTCATTATATATTAAAAAGATTTCATTATCTGCAAAACAAAATGAGAAGAATGAATATGTTAAGAGAGGGTAGCAGAGACTGTAAACTGTAGTTATACTGTGTTTTGAAAGAAGTATGGACCTTTTCCTACATCAAAAGAATCAGGGTTCAAGTCCCACTTACAGTGAAAAAGGTAGCATCTTCACAAAGCCTAGTTAATAGGGAGGAAAATCAGAAATAACTCATGCAGACAGGCATAGAGGAACAATCAAGTATGCACACTAAGAAGAAACAGTGATTTACATTATACCAGATTTTAAAACATGTCATAACTATAAGAGACCTTATTCTTAAATCCCTCTGAAAAAGACTTCTTCCAAGCAGGCTTTCAAACAGACCTCTAGGAAAGCTTTATATATTTACTTGAATCCGAGAAGAAATTTCTTCCCCAATCAACATGGTGGGGAAAAACCCCTTGTTTTAGATTTGAGTAACAGCTCAGGCAGGCAGCGGATCAGCTCTGGCTTCAGCTCCAGGCTCAAGGCCGAAGACAGAGATGAGCTGCTGCCTGCCTTGGGTCAAGTGACTCCTGGTGGTAGAGGGGCCTCTTAGTAGGGGGAGCGTGGGGGGGACCTCTCACTGGGGGAGACCCATGGTGTACAGCTTGGGTGTGGGGGGAGTGAGGGGAACAGCATGCAGTCTGCACCCTTGCTGCCCTGCTGCCTACCCTCCTGGCCACTTGCCCCTCCCCACCCACTGCTTACCTTCAGTTCTGGCTCTGGCCCCTCTGGCAGGCCTGGAGCTGCCACTGTTGCTTCTGCCTGGCTCGTACAGGCTTGGGTTGGGGGTCACTGTCAGTGCTGACTGCCCCAGAGCCAGAGCCATGCAGAAGATAAATGGTGGGAGGATGAATGCATTGAGATGGCAGGTGGGGGGTGGGGTGGGGTGGCGAGGCAGGCACTGGGAGAAGAGGGCAGACAAGTGGCAGAGGGGCAGATAGGCACAGGGGGCAAGGCAGATCTGGGCTCTCATCCCCCACTGCTGTTTTGGGGGATGAATTTAAGACAACCCTCCAATAATTAGATTTTATTCATGGAAAATAATAACAAATCTTAATTTTCCAATTATTGAATCTAATAATTGGTGGGTGGTCTAAAATTTAAAGTTGTCTTGGATTCAGGGAACTATGGTATTTCTTCATTGTACCAACCTGTTATCATCATCTGGTATATTATGCATTAGAATTACATTTTATATTTCTGAACTAGAAACAGGCTATATGTATATATTATAATGCATTCTGTAAATATGTGATCATAGAGCTTTTCTTTCACGGGTCATCTATCTTATTCAGTACAAAAGGTGTTCTGCTATTCTGTATTTTCTTTGGATCAGGGTGTTAGGGTGCTACACTGAAATTTCTTATTTAACAGAGAAAGAAACTGCCAAAAAGTAGCTTGTTGTCTTGCCCAGTTTGTATCCCTTTCTTTAATGTAGTTGCAATCAGTCTTTTATTAGTTATACCATCAGACATTAGTCCATCTAAAGCTACAAATCACAGTATGTGGAACATTATGGGGAAGTCTGCATACTGCAGTGCAGTGTTATGCAAAGATACTTGACATATCACTGAAAGAGAGATTTTGGGTACCAGATCTGCATTAACATTGTGTACTGCCCACCCTAATAAGTGTTGTTGGGGGCAGATACATTAGCCCAGTCAGAGTGCTAAACTGCTCCCTGTGTCTAGGTTAGGCCCTTCAGAGTAATTCAGCACAGCATTACATTATGCTCTTTAGACACACCATATGATATACATAAAGTATGTCTTATCTCCTGCCTTAGATACACCTGGCAAAGAGTGGAAGACACTCTGTACTGCATTTCTCTAAGCATGAAGTAAAAATTATAAATCATGTCATCTACTTTTTTCCTGCTGTGCCTTCTGAAATGGTTAACTGTAAATGGCTATTTCTTTTCCTGCACTCATGAAGTATGCTTAAAATATTGGCCTTGGTGCCAGCTAGTGTATTTGGGAGACTATAATATTATCAGTGGGGTATTGTAATAATTTCCCTTGGACATCAATGGAGCTCAGGCTTCAGTTGCATTATCCTTTAGTGGCTCATTGAAACTACTCTGTTTGGTAACAAGTGCTGCTGGCAGCATTAATATGCCAGTACTGCCCAGCTATTTCATGTGGCTCCTGAATTGAATGATATGGGAAAGACTCTTTGTGATCTGTCCCCATCCTAGCACACTTATGCAGAGCCAACCATGATCTTGCCTTAGTATTTTTATTCAGAGTTAACTTTCACATAAAACCTTAATTATGCCCCATACCCATCCCTGTAGTCTCACAATTTTATATCACATCTTTACACACACAATTTCATGTCTCCTTTTTCACTGAAATATCTAAACAAGCAGAGGGTATCCTGCTGATACCAAACTCTTTCCATATAGCTGATTGCAATTGGTTTTACTACGAGTCTTCATGACTACAGCTCTGTTCCTCTGCCCCTGCTTCTGGTCCTGTTCTGCCCTTTATGCCCTGCCTCTCCCAGTTGTAGGGATATTCTCCTTCCTTCCAAGGAGACCAACATACCTGGATAAGAATCTCTGTCACATTTCTTTATGCCATTCCACTTAAAATGAGTACTGGCTGCAGTATCACCAGACTGCACCAGTGTTAAAGTAACCAAAGAAAAAAAACATTGGAGAAGCACTTTCATATCCACTTTTACAGGGGACACAAAACAGGTACTTACCAAATAGCTGAACAGCTGAATAAATGAGAGAAAGAAAACCCAGGAACCTGAAAAGACTCATCACAAATGTTTCTTTCCTTTCCTTCTTTCTTTTCACTAAGAGAGGAACTGAAATGAGTTTCTGTTGATAAAATCATTTTAAAATAAGCTGATAGGCCTGCCTTAGTTTTGAAAAGCTGATGCATGAGGAGAGACTTCAGGGCTCTAAATAAGGAAATATCCTGTCACATGTATCATTCTGAAATAACATGAATATACAGTTCAAATTTTGCTTCCAAGGTCAAGGTTTCTTTCCATAGAAACGTAGGTGATAAAGCAGTAACAGTTCAATACCACCTCTGGAAATAAACTAAATTGCACAAAAGGGTCAGATTTGGGATTGTCAATCAGACCTCAAATGAGGATAGCAGGGAACAGAAAGAGAAAAAGAGCAAAGGTGTGCCCTTTCTTTAAAGTTGAGTGTTGCACCTTAAATAAATACTTGGTAAGAATAGAGAAAATTAGCAAATGGGATACAGGCCTTATCTTTACTACTGAAAAAGGAGGATTTTTTTTTTTACCTTTGGAAAAATAATTTGTATAAGCTCTATAGTGCTGAAAACAAAATGAAAAAAAGCATTTCAGTTTGACCACCAGGTAAACTATGTGAGCTTATAAACTATTATATCCTGACCTTCCTTACTTCATCTCAAGGTAAAACTAGTGTCTTGTCTTCATGGTCATTGTCCCAGGATAACTCAGATGCATCAACTACCCAGATGTATAAAAATACATCTTTTTTGTAAGTGATTTTAGCAAATGAGTCTATTAATGGAGATAAATTGTCTGCCCTAAATAAAAAAAATGGGAAAAATTACAGCAGGTGGGGGGCAGATATAGAATAGCTGCTTCAGAGTGCCCACTAGGTATTACAGTATAACTGTTCCATATGCATACAGATGAGTTATATTGCTGTACGTTTATCACTGAATCATAGGACCATAGAAAACTAGAGTTGTGAGGGACCTCAGGAGGGCATCCAGTCCAACCCCTGCTTGAGGCAGGATCATTTCAACCTGAACCATCCCAGTCTAGTGGATAGTTAACCTACTCTTAAACACTTCCAAGGATGGAGACTCCACAGTCTCTCTGGGCAGCTTGTTCCAATGTTTAATCACTCTCATAGTGAGATAATTCTTCTTAATATCCAACCTAAATATCCCCTGCTGCACTTTGAGGCCAGTACTCCTAGTCTTGTCCCTGAAGCCACAGAGAATAGGATCTGCACTTATAAGAAAGTTGGTCTGGAAGGAACCTCATGGGATCATCTAGTCCATCATTGTTATCATCAAACAATCCCTTGATTCAAGGATCTCTACCATGGCTGATTGGTGGGTCTTGAGGTGACTTAAGAATTCATTTCTTGATCCACAGATATATCCATAAAAGTTGCAGGTCTTTCCGCATTGGACAGTAGGCTGCAGGCTGGGATTCCTCTCCTTTTCCTTCCTACACTGTCTCTTCTCTGCTTGGAGAGTGAGATGTTTTACCTTAAAATGGGCTGCCACTTGGCTGAGGTTGTGGTGCCACTGGAGTTGACTAGCAGCCAGCTCCTCCAGCTCATCTAGTCCAACCCTCTACTCAAGGATATAATTATTAAATCTGCCTCTATTCCAGGCAGGATCATTTCTGACTAAACCATCCCATACAAGTGTCCACTGAACCTGCTTTTGAAAATTTCCAGGGATGTAGATTCCACACTTTTTCTAAGTAGCCTGTTTCAAAGTTTGACTGCTCTCATAGTTAGAAAGTTCTTCCTACTGTCCAACCTAAATTTCCTCTTCTACAGTTTAAGGCCATTGCTCCGACTCCTGTCTCCTATGGCCATAGAGAATAGGTTATCTCCATCCTCTTTATCATCTCCCCTCAAATATTTGAAGACTGTTATCAAATTCCCCACCCCCTAACACCCTCAGTCTTCACTTCTTCAGACTAATCTATCCTAGGTCTTTCAGCTTTTTCTCATAAATATTGCTTCCCAGAGCTCTAAACATTTTGTTGCACTCCATTGGACTCTTTTCAATCTGTCTGCATCTTTTTTGAAGGGTGGAGCCCAAAACTGGACATAGTACTCCAGGTGAGACCTCACCAGAGGCAAAAAGAGCAGGAGAATCACTTCCCTTGATTTTCAAGCAGCACTCCTGTTAATACAACTCAATGAATGAAAGAGGATGCATTTTAAAATGGTTTTTATCCTTGTTTTACCCTCATGATAGAATGGTTTTTACCATGTTTGTATTGCTATGGGAGCCTTCAGATTTCCCAGTTACTGATATATAATTGATTATTGTGTATCATTTGATATGGATATAATTATGAAACCTGCCTGCTTTTGATATTCTGTTAAAAAATGTTCAACTCCTGGACCCTGGCAAACATTACATTTAAAGCATGATTAATGTGTTAATGGAGAAATAAATTGGAAAGTTTGTTCAAGCAATTTATTACCCAAGAACAAGCCACAAAAATGCTGATCCAGTCACAAAGATGTTACTTGTTAAATGTAGAACATCTTTGCAGCTTGTTTGCATCATGCTTCAATTTGAATGTTATACATAGGGTGATAGAGTTAGGCCAGGTCCTCCAGCATCCCCAGGTGGGCAGCTCTCTCCTCTACCCCAACTCCTTCCTGCAAGGGAACTTCCTGTGACTTATGCTAAACTCTGCTGCTCCAGGATGCCAAAAAAGGAAAAGTCATGACTCACTGCCTCTCCTCTAGCCCCACCAGTCCCCTCCCCTTCCCACACTTCACCTTTGCACAGGTTCTCCCCTGCTTGTGCCGGGGAAGCAGCTGCTTCACCCAGGGGGAGTTCAACTGGCAAGCTCAGAGCCTACTTCTCATTAGCAGAACAGTGGAAGGCTGGAGGTGAGGGAGGGGGAATTACGAATGGTGCCAGCAGCTCTTCAGCTCTTGTTGCGGGCAAGCGCTAGCAAAGTAAGTTACCAAGCCACATTTTTCCCCCTTGGATAGTTAGTCCTATGAATATGAATCAGGTCACATGGAGCAACAGTTTCTATTGAGCAAAATTACCTGTTACTTGCTGCAAATAATATCTGCTGGGGGCCTTAAAGAGCCTCCCTTAACATTAAGTCATAACATGTTAACATTAAGGTATAGCATGTTATTATTTGATATACCTATACATTTTCAGAAAATATACCTTTTGTTCAAAGAATAAGTGAGTTGAGTAGATACATTTCTTTTTCATGTATAGCAGACAAGCTGAATCCCTAAAGAAAATGCAAATAAGCATATGAAGTAGACCAGGGTAAAAAAATTGAACTCCAGATTGTTTTGATAAAGGTCATAAATATTTTGCCAATTTCTTCTGAAAAGTTTTATTTACTTTTGACCAATTCCCAGTTGTAGTCAGTGCTTGCAAGACATGCTGCAAAGGAGGAAGTACATTCCGTCTTTCAGAAAAAGCACTTTTCTGAAGTTTCAATCTAAAAATTATGCTACCACCTCAGAACTTGCCTATAAGAAGCAGACTGCTACAGGAAGGATGGATTTTCATGCCAGGTACCAAAAGTCTTACAGAGGTGTTTCATTCATAAACTTAATAATCTGACCCTCTAGTAATCATTTTCCTTTATCCTTTATGAAAATAATTCCCTTATGAAAATAATGTTATTGTTATTTGTTTCAGTGGGAAGCAGATAGTATAATACGGTTTAGTTCCTGTTTCAATTATTCCTGTTAACAAGAATACACATGATTTTATATAAGAATTTAAAAGAGCCGTTCCCCTTTATCTATAACTTATGTAAGATATTACTTCTTCTTTAAGAGACATTATATCACTTATGTGTTTGCAGTCATCTTTGGCTCTGTTTCATTCATGCTTCTGTTTCAAGCAGCTCTTCTTCTTTTAAAGTAGGGGAAAAGAACTCAGATCTGGGTGCATAAAGATCTGTTTGAGTGTATTTTCCCCCTTTCCTATGACAAAAACCTCAAACTAAAAGTCCCATTAAGTTTTTCCTCAAATAAGCACAAACACCCCTTTTTTATGAAGGTAAAAAAAGTTGTCTTTACTAGTTTAATATGACAGCTACATGTTGGTATGAGGATATTCACATACAGATCAATAGCCTCCCTGCGTAGTCCCTGGTCTGAGGAATTTTCTAGTTTATAGGTCTTATCCTCAGGCCTGTTGATGCCCAGGGTCTCTCCTGTAACTTGCAGACAGGCCATTTTAAATCTGACATAGAAAACAGAAGGGTAAAATAAGCCACTATGGCTGGAAGGCTGTCTGCTACCATGAGGTGTTGAGTAGGTGCATTTACATGTGTGCATTTACTGGACAGTAACCAAAATTACTGCATAGTACAGGAGGGCGTCTACATGTGCACATCTGTAGTGCACAGTAAATATGGTGGCTTATGCTAACTTGAGCATAAATTTGATACCTGCATTATGCAGGTGTCAAATTTACGCCCAATTAGTAACTGCTCAGTAACACATGTGTAGACATCTTACTGCGCAGTAACACTGTGTGTGGGGACTGACTTTGGACTCAGTTTAGTCCCAAGTCAGTCCACACATAGTGTTAATGTGTTTTAATGCCTGCATGTGTAGATGATGGCCTATGTCTGCTTACTGCACAGTAAGTTTAATTTGGTGTAAATGTACGTGTAGGCATGCCCAGTATGTTGTACCTTACCCATAGCATCTGAATTCAAGGGATACTGTAGCGTGGGACTAATCAAAAAGTCAGAAAAGTACATTCACAACCAAGTCATATGAAAGAAGACTTCACCAAGACAGTTTTATTTTGCACTTTTAAAATTATTATTATTTTTCTGTTTTAAAACAAGTATATCCAGCATCTGCTTTCTGTGGACTCTTGGTTATAGCTCATCTTGTCACAAATAAAAGTTCCCTACCCCCTTGCTTACAAACTATGTGGTATCTCTGCATGCTAAGTTCTTCAGTACTTAAGTATTATTATCTAAGGAATAAGATATTATCATCTAAGGAATACATACTTTATTTTGTATATTTACATATTGTTAATTTCAAGCTGATAAAAACATTAATACTCATAGAATGTCATAAAAATTTGACCAATAAAAATATGCAGCCATATTTATTTTAC